CTCTGTCCTTCTTCAGTTTAAATTTATTATTCGTTTTAAGCCTGGTTTCTTGCACACGCTTTCAAGTGCATTGGAATCTGACGACATGGAAATAAGGGTTTTTTCAGTTTATGTCAGCCGTGTAGTTGAAGGCGAACAAAAAGATAAATGGCTCTATACACTAGGCACTATACATGAATGTAATCATGTCTGAAGTACACCTGTAAACTAAGCTCTTTTACCAATTGCAAAGTATGCAAAAAGAAAAATAAGTTCACATCATAGCCTATAAAATAAGTATATGCCCCTTGTTGCGAGGCACAAGATAAAAGGATATCAGCATGAAGCAAGCTGAGAATCTACTTGGTTTTTTTAATTTGTTTCCTTGTGGCTTACTGTTACTTCCATACAGTTTTGGTAGAAACTTTCATTTTGGTTTTAATGGTAATTTAAAATAAAAAAAAAGAAAACAAGAAGAGAGAAGTGACAAGTTCGCCTGCCCGTTCATACAGATTTCACAGGTTAAGAGCACTGCCTAAACAAAGGCTGAATCATAAACTGTGTTCTTGCCTCTCTACTGCTGTGCTCTGAAACTTCCTTGATGACCTGAGAAACCCTTGCTATTCCTGTCCTGAGCTACTGCTTTCACAGCATCCTTACTACACAAACGTGAGACATTGCCACTAAAGTAGTGGTGAGCTAAGCCAAATTTGAATTGAGGTATGAGAACTGAGTGAGAATGGTTTAGAACAATACATTATTTAATTTCACTGAGCTGTTGTGAGCTTTAAAGGATTCTCTCGGGTACGTTTTCAGTATGCTGTGGTCATACTTAGTCATACAAATTCTACTGGTAAGAGAAATTGCATGACTAAATCTCCTTGCGTGGGCCAAATCCTGTGCTGGCCCTGTCTGCAGCACAGGTTATCTAATGACTTCTTCAGGATTTTCTTCATTCAAGGCATCCTCCAACTCAGAGGGAGGATAGAGATGTTCTCTGGAGTCACTGCATTGCATTAACATAGCCTCCAGCCTTCTCTGCTCCCTCTGCTCAGAGTATGTGGCTCACAGAGCAACAGTCTGGAAATCACAATATTGGAGACTATTTTCAATTTAAGTAGGTCCTGTTCCCGGGGACAGGCCTTTTGGAGGGCAGGGACAACTTGGGAGCAGAGCCAGGGCAACTGTCCCAGGTTATCTGGGTTTCCTAAGCTAACAGGGCTAAGAGTCTACCTCCCATACAACCAAAATATCAAGTGGGAGTCAGACAGAAAAAGTATTATTGAAGTTGTCTAATCTCTTGGCAGGTCATGTAACCATTTTAAGTTCTCAGACACTCAGTTTCTGGTGAACAAAGGCCTGTAGTTCTCTCATTGTAAAGGAACAAGATTGGTAGCAGCGGTTGTGCCCCTATCTCATTGTAAAAAGAGAGAATGGTATGCAGGTCCATGAAAAAGGAATTTTAGCACTGGTAAGCTGCCCCAAAATTGTGTTTCTACGACACTGCTTTCAAAAATAAAAATATTATAAGTGCGTTTTTCATTTGGAATGTACGTCTGTCTACACAGGATCTCAGCAAGTCTTAAATGTGTGCATGCTTGCGATGTTTCATGTTGAAGAAAATTAATTAATTTTAGCGATTCTTTTGGGAGAGGACTCATGCCCTGTATTCCACCTCATCTATAGGTGGCTAAGTTCCCGGTGAAGTAGTGTCTTATGGTATCTATCTGCATAGGGATCTACCTGAGGTGAATGTGATTAAAACTTCCAGGAGACATTAGAGATAACAGCTGCTGTTTCAATGAATTAAATTTAAACAAGCATTTTTTCAGTAAGGTTTTTCCAGTAAGATTAATCAAGGCTGAGGGGCAGCCATCATGCCAATTGCTAAAGTTTAAATTTTCTTGTGCTCAGGCTGTCAGAGAAATTGTTAGCTAGTACTTCGATATCTTCAGAAGAAATTCAAAAGGCCATATTTCTATATGAAATGTTCTTTAAGAAATGTATGGATACCCAGTCGACCATATTTTCTCAACAATGTGAGGTTCTGCCAGTTTTTACTGGTGAAATTTGGTCACTGACAAGTTTTCCGATAGGCTTTTTTTTGTTTCCTGAGTAGCAAAAATTCACAGCTCTTTCACAGCTGCTTGACCCTATGATATGTAATACTGTATTCTCCTTGGTAGCTGTGGAGTGTCCTTACCTAAATATCCACACATATTCTGTTCTTGATGACTGGCATGTGGTTGGCAGGCCACTTTTATCTCTTCAGTGTTTTCCTATATTCTTTATATTCGTTTAGAAATTTCAAACCTGGAAAAAAATTACCCACATCTCTTCAGAAAGAGATGTTTGAGAATAAAGGAGTATAGAAAAACATCATGAAGAATGGACAAAATGCCGTGTAGTGTGGAACTTGAGCTTGACACAGGCTGGGAAGCAGCTTTATTACAGAGAAAGCATGAAAAATGATAAAGAAAGAATCACATTATTTGTGGCCTGCTTGATAGAGTTTCTTATCTGAATCGACACGATAAATGCAGCCCATGGTAGTAAGGACTGAAAGGCATCAGTTGCTATCCGATGGTTGTTCACTAACCATTGTAAATGCACTCTCATCCGCAGTAACTACATGTCCACAAATATCTAGTCAAGAGTGACTGGCACCCTGGTTGCCACTATTAGTATATAAATTAAGGTACTGAGGGGCATGAAGAATGAATTATCCCCTCAAATCATGAGGTAATCACACCAAAATAGGGCTGAGCATGTTGGCAACATTGCATGGGAAAATTGACTCTGCTGCTATCCTTGCGGGACCCATGCTGGAGATGAAGGATTTCACTCTTGAGAGAGGACAACTCTGTACGATCTGGGTCATTGTATTTGAACAGTGTTTGAGGGAGAGAGGAGGTAGGGGCTTGTAAATCTTTGTAGGGATGGATAGAGATAGATATATAAATAGAACAAATATGCGTCATAGATAATAATTAATTAATGCCACAACTGTGGAGGTAAAAGGAAAAAAAAATACCCTTAATAGTAACACCTGAAATACAATAGAAAATACTTTAAAAAACTCCACCCCCCCCTTGTGTAAAAAAAACTGTAAAATGTTAACTTTGTATATTGCTCCTGATTTCTGATATGGTAGTATTTTAATAGCTAGCATATGTATTTTTTAATATTTAAAAGTACCTGAACTGGACAGAAATGTAGACCACAGTTTCTCTTTTACAGCATTGTGTAAACATATGTAATTAGCCTTGTACTTATCTGCGTTAGTATCATTAGAATTGAAAACCCATTTTAATCTGGATTCTGTTCTCTTCTCAATGTCAGCCTGTTTCTGGACCAGTACAGAGCTAGCCTTGTTGATGCAATAAAGAGATTACTCCAACCCAGTGTAAGTATGTTTCTATTTTCTCCTGAACACTGGCTTCAGAATAATTAGTCTGTGCACAATGATTGAGAGAGTAATGGAATGGCAGGATTAATGTCATGTAATACTTTAATACTTATTATGTCCAACTTCAATTGAGTCTTCTAATCTATCAGATTCTTTCCTAATCATAAACTAGGAAACTTCTTATACTTGGCCTTCTGATAAGGAACACAGTGGGTAGTAAAATAAATGAAACCGCTTCAAAGATAGCATGAGATTATTTTTATCAAAGCGTTTCTCAAGTATTTTCCTTTGATAATAATGTCTTCATATTAAAGTAAAAGTACGATATTGAAAGTTTTTATGTTGGCTTCTGTCATTTGTAATCCCTTCAATGGTAACCTTTGTCATTGTGTATTTATTTATTATGAAAGAATATTTTTTCTTTTCATTTCTGTTTATATAAAATGAACAAAACCCTTATGCATATATTGTAGCCTAAATCTTTTTTTCCATTAAGTAAGCCCTGTGTTTACATGTTTTATACCTTAGAACATAATGAAATTAAGCTCTTCGTAAAATGCTTACATGTTCTACATGAGTGTCACTGAGGAAATATTTTACTTATCTCAATCTATTAGGCTGTTAAATCAGAGGCACCTACGGGCAAAAAAAGAGCTGTTACATGCATATACTTATACCCAACAAATAATCCTGAATCTCAAAAAGAAGTTTTTAAAAAGAAGTTACCAAGATGAGAATATGCGAAAACATGTGAAGTAATTGCTATAAGTAGGAATTTGAAACAGGAGTTTTACCTTTCATGTTTACCGTACAAATCTTCCAGTAAGGTAAATTTGCCATTTCAAAACAAAAGTATTTCATGTTAGCACTGCATCCTCCAAACTTTATTTTAAAATTGTATATTGTACTTTTTGTACAAGAGATTTTCTCTGTGAAAGGAATAGAAGACCCAAACGTGCAAAGACTTAAGAAACCGAGTTATTTTAGTCATGTAAGTAATCCCATTCTTTGCTAAGAGTAATCAGGTTTCTATTCTTGGTTCTATCATAGACTTTCCAGACTGACCTAACGCAAGTTACTTAAGACTGAATTATTTTAATGAGCTGTGGGGCAAGGCTGCCAGGAAGACAGGAGAAATGTAGGCACCCTGAGGAAAAGGTTACCCAGATATTTCTGTCAGGGGCAGCAAGGGGAGGTTAAGCAGCTCCTTCCCAGAGTGATGCCTCCTGACTTTCATGATGTACCATCAGTTATCAGGGTGCAATAATTTTTGGGACCAGAGGTGATCTGGAACACAAAGCTGATCCCAGTTTACAAAAATGCAAAAAGTATTTTTTTTCAGCCCAGATCAATGTCCACACCTGGTTCTTCAGGTAGCCCCGTACTGGCTCCATGAAAGAACACTGGGGGAGAAGAGTATGAGTGACAGGAAGAGAAGTGTATAAGAGATGCTCTGGTGCCTGTGACCTGGCTAGAGCCTCTAGCTGGAGTGGAAGAAGAGCTGTTCGTTGCTTTGTCTCCTGCTCGTAGCTCATCACAGTCTGGTGGTCTACATTGCCAAGAACATGAGTACACACAGACATTTGTATATGCGCACACACACGCATTCTTTACCTGGGCTGATTAGCCCAACCAGAGAATTTGATTTAAAAAACAATGACGATAAGGCAGCCTGAATTTTAAGTAGTGTTCATAGCTCGAGTTTCCATCTATAGACAATACAGGAATTGTTAACCCGACTTTAAACCAAAACTGGCCTGACTTTGTTGCTTTTGAACTCCAGTCAGTTAATTCAAATTCAGAACACGCCTTTGTTTTCAGAGCAGATGAACTACAGTCCTTTGTGAATGTAGATGGAGTAAAGGGAGATGGCTTTTTTGTTTCCTGTCTTCCGCGTCTGGCTTGCTTCTGCACATTGAGATTAATAGCATAGCCTGTACTTATTTGCTCTGCATTTTAGGCCATGGTTCCTATCTCTTACCGGCAAAGCTAGCTTAAGAAATTCTTGCTCCTTGCAGGAATTTCTGTTGCAGAGTTTTGGACCACTGTCTGAACTGTATTTTTTAACTAGTCATTTGCCTAATCCACTTTATGGATGGTCATATGGATGGGTATCCGGTTATGGCGTGGCCTTGCAAATTATTGTAATTCATAACTAAGAGGACAGCAAACTATTGTGTGGGGTGGAAGCTGGGAGTACAGACACCTTAAATGAGCTCCCTTGTCCAAAAAGCACATGTTGAACAGAGATGCCTTCAAGCATATGCTTTCATGGTTCGAAAGACCCAAATAAAAGCATATACTCATTTGAGATCCCAGGAGAAAATGCAATCACAAGTACATAACAGTTATTATTTTTACTGTTCTTGTTAACCTGTATAAATCTAAGGATAACATCAGAGGAAACTTTACTAGATGGCGCTATACTTTAGCCTTTAAAGGAAAAATAAATCAATAGTGAACTCATTTGCCAGTTGCAATAATTAAGAATAGTTTATGGGCATTAGTTTATGCCCAAGCTAAGGCATAAACTACTTTAATTAAGTTCACTCTTCTGCATGAATTATTTTGTCTCAAATTTAGAAATTACATTTCCTTATTGGTAATACTTTGCCAAATTGATAGAGGAACGATCTCAAAGTGAAGACACGTCTAGATGTAAGACATCTTTCGAGTGTAACTAGGATACAACTAGGATAGAGGAGTTCATGGAAAAATAATAGCCAGCAAAACCGAAAGGAAAAGTGGAGTAAAGAGAAAATAACAGGTATCCTTACAAAGCTGTCTTGAAGGAGAAATTCAGAACAGGTAATTATTCGTACTGTTAGTTTAAAAAGAGATAAATTGATCTGCAGTATTTCCTTTTTCATTAAGGATGTTATTTGTGGCTATTAGAACCCTTATGGCACAGAATGATGTGTTTTGGGTAACTTTTTGTTTTCCTGGAAACAGGACTCTGGTCATTTCAGTCATCTGATTCATAGTATGGCCCCATGGACAGTTGTATTGGCACAGGAAGAGAGGACCAGAAATTCACAGAGGCAGAAATGAGCAGCTCGGAGAGTTACTGGGGGCTGAAATTTCTTATCTGAATTTGTTACAAATGCAAATGTCACCTGTAAACCAATTCCAAGAATTAAGCGCTGAAATTTTACATCAAACAAATTTATCTTGAATGGCTATATTTTATTCCTCTTGTAAGCAAGCTACTTGGTTTGCCAACATTTAGTTTTATTTTTTCCTATCATTAAAATGTGCTTTTAATTTCAATCTCAGAATAAGCAGTTGCTTGTTTGCATATTTCCATAATTAAGAACATTTTTTTTGAAGGCTTTGATTCTTCTGTGGCCTATCCATTCAAAATCCCAAGGAAGTCAATTGGATGCTATTGAACCATGATTAGTACCAGCAAATAAGACTGCATTTGATAATGATTGATGAGTCATAGTCATGTCCAGAATGTGAACGTCTGTCCCATTATCTTACTGCAGCATTTTAGTGGCACTTCAAACTATTGTAACCGACATTTTCCTCTGTGTTTTGTTCACGAGTTTACTGGAAGTGTTTTTCCAGCTGGGGAAAGGCCATTCTGAACTTTAAACATCATCCTAAACTGAGGGGCGCTTTTGAATTAAACAACCGTGGGATAGTTCATCAAGTGTAGATCCAGGCCACTGGTCTAATTTTTTTATTGTACAGCAACCAGAAAATGAAAAACATTTTAAAATTAGAAATGTGAATGCGGTTCTACAACAGCTAGCAGAGTCGCAGAGATCAGGCAGTTGACAAGACAGTGCTTTAAACCCAGGTTATGAAAGATCAGAATTGACCACAGTACCTCCACAGTACCTGCCAGTTTTGAGGAGATTATTGTAGTATTAAATTTAGTCATGATTTCTTGGTTTTTATCAGCAAGGGAAAGATCCTCAGGTGTTTTAGATGCAGACTAAATTCAATAGAGGAATGGGGTTTTACACCAACTAAGGAGCTGGCCAAAAGTAACTGTGTAGTGATTTCCATAAAAGGCCATTCCCCTTTTTCAAAGTTGTTTCAAGATTTTCAGTCTGGTTTTAAGAGATATTTCATACCGTGTTACATTCTATTTTACTGTATTTCTCTTTCAAATTAAATTTGAAGTAGTCTACAGAGAGTATAAGAAGGAATGACCGCATGGACTGCTGACTCCAAATGGAAACCTGTAAGGGGGTGCTGTTGTGTGAGCATTGCTTCCTCGTCGAAGCTGCTGGATCAGTGGCTGATGTGGCCCACAGCCATCTCCGTTCATGAGGTTTAGCCATTCCTGAAGTCCCTGCGTGAATCGTGTGGTCAGTAAGCCCTGGGTGGGGAACATGTTTTCCATTACAGTGACCTCTCTGTGAAGCTGCCCGTGAAGGTGAGGGACTCCAGAGTGGAGTCTCATCCTTCTTATGCCAGGAAGGGTCTCTGCAGAACAACGTTCTGGGGAGTGTGAGATGGCAGCAGGAGGAGGAGGATCCTGGGCTGAAGGCTCCATTTGCTGCCCACTTCTGTCTGATGACATTAAAGCACGCCAAGGATGTGAGGGAACTGATTGTGAATTTCCTGTGTTTAATGTTTTTCATCCTGAGCTGAGCCTGTATTCAGACGTAACATTTACATAAGCAATTCCAGTGCCTTCGGTGGGAGGTACACCTTTTTGCACCTCGTATTTAGCCACAGAATTAAAGTTATAGCTACATAAATGAACAGAAGTGAATTGCTTTGGATATTGCCCTAGGTCTCGTTTGTGCTTAAGTTTCCCATGAGAAAGATGAGGGTAACAGTATTTCCCTATCTCACAGCGGCATTGTGAGAATAAATACAGTGCTGTGGTATTCATGATTGGAGTCTTCTAAGTACACGTTAGTACTGTAGATACTGACATATAGTTTTTGTTGCTGCCTCACTGCGCATTGTGTCAGCATATGTGTGCATGAGCTGTAACACACAGATTTGTTCCCTGTCCTCCTCACTAAGTATCTGTGTCAGCATTGTAACTTTCCAGAGTTCCCATTGAAATTCTCTCTTCTGATCACTTTTTTCCTGTGGTATACAAGATTACATTTTCTCAAGCCAAATATTCTCCTACAGCGTCTAATCTTTTTATAACTTCTTCAGATGGTTAAAAATATTTTTTTTTGTCTCTTCGGTTGATTACGGCACCTCACAAATTAGTCTTAGCTCTCATTAATATAGAAGTTAAATACAAGAACTCACGGTAAACTTTGTGGCTCCCCTCGGTGTGATATGCTGTTGGCTGATACTAGCCTTTGTTTACAGCTCTTCAACCAGTTTTCATTCCATGTGACAGAACATGGTATTCAGCCAATTAGAATTAATTTTGCAAATAAGATTTCAAGAGATGCTGTATCATGTAGGTTAGGTTTTGGGCTAGTACTTTGCACAGGGTGTCTAAAATCTGTCAGTTCAAGGTACAGTCATTTTTGTGTTCTTAAATACAGAAGGATGAGCAAAAAATTAGCTAATGGACCATAATGTATTGCCTGGGCATCATAAATGGCCTAATCGTCTTGAAAGATCCAGAATTACTATGCAAAAACATCAAGTCCTGCTTTAAATGCAATTTACCAATTTAAGGTCAAATTCGGTTGCGCTGCTCAGGTAGTTTAAAATATCTTTAAAAAATTAATGATCGGGTCTGATTTTCCTCCCCTTTTGCCTTGTTTTACACTGTTGTAATTCCACTGACAGCAAATGGGAGGTAGTCTCCTATGTGTGAGAGTAAAAAAAGAAAATCATTATTTACAGTCTTTGCATGGTCATGAGCATGGATTTTGCATTGAGTGTATGTTTTGTATGCTTTTCTGTGGTTTATTTTAGTAATTCATAGCCCCCATTATTATATGAAAAGGAGCAGATGTATGGTAGTTGGCAGTTTTCTAAAGAAAATACTTATTTGTTACTTTCTATTTTGCATTTGTTTAATCACAGAAATCTTGCATGTTTTGAACAATTATTTATATTACCCTATTTTAGTATTTTACCAAGAGAACTATTGACTTTTCCAGCTTGAGTATATTAAAAGCTTAGTCAGGTGTATGTTATATCTGGTTCCCTTCCAGTTTTAAAAATGTATAAATTCTCTTTTTAATGTTCCAGGGAAAAGCAATGGTGTTTGCTCCACTCCGAGGGAACACTTTAAACCAGTTTTGCAATCTAGCTGAAAAAGCTGGTTTCTCTATCCAAAGACATGAAAATTATGATGAACACATTTCGAACTTCCACTCCAAGGTTAGTTTTCTGCTTGTGTTAGATAACACTTTAATCCGCATTGCATTTTGAAGAGATCATGGTCCTTTTGGCAGGTAACCTAAATGTTTGATTAAAGTACTCCTTAGGTGTGCTGTTTCTGAACAGCTATTTTTGTATCTGATTATTTTGTGTGGTAGAACCATCCTTTATCTCCGCTCGTCTAGAAGAGTTTTGCAGAAGCATCTCCTGTTTACCCTTTTCATTCATAGAAATCTAATTTATGGGAGCCTTTTCTTGTTGTTGTTAGCTGCCTATAAATATACTGCACACTAGCGTTTACATTTTAATAAAAAGCTTGCAACTTTTAAGTAGGTTAAATAC